GCCCTGGCACCACGCGCTGAGCTGTGCCAGGTCTCTGCCGACACTGCGGTGCCCTGGCACCACGCGCTGAGCTGTGCCAGGTCTCTGCCGCCAGCGCGGGGCCCAGGATGGGACAGACCAGCGCAGCTGCGGGGGCTGTGGGCAGGTCTGGGGCCATCCCCGTCCGGCTGCATCAGCTGCTTCTCCCCGGGCTCGGCCGTAGGTGTCGGCGCTGGCGAGCGCGGGCGGCGCAGAGAACCTGATCGTGCTGGAGCGCGCCAAGCACCGGCCCCACGAGATGGGCTCCGTGCGCTGGGCCGGCAGCACCTTCGGGCCCATGCAGAAGAGCCGCTTGGGCGAGCATGAATTCGAAGCCCTGATGAGAATGCTGGACAACCTGGTGAGCACCGGCCAGTGCCAAAACACATCAAGCTCCCCCAAAACACACAAAAATATCTTTTTTTTGTTGTTTTAAATCCCTGTATTACGACCGAGTGCTCTCTGCCTTTCTAGGGTTACCGCACGGGCTACACCTACCGCTACCCCTTCGTGCAGGAGAAGAGCAAGCCCAAAAGTGACGTGCTGATCCCCGCCACGGTGACGGCCTTCGTCTTCGAGGAGGAGGCCGCCCCTGTCCCCGCGCTGCGGCAGCACGCCCAGAAGCAGCAGAAGGAGAAGACGCGGTGGCTCAACACCCCCAACACCTACATGAGAGTCAACGTGGCCGAGGAGCAGCAGGGCAGCGCCGGCAGCCAGAAAACGAAGACGACGGTGCGGAGCTGCCACGACGTCCCCGGCAGGGCGGGGGGCGGTCAATTTGGGACGGGGGCTGGCTTGGGAATGGCATCAGCCCCCCGACCCAATGTTTACTTTAAAATCCCACCTCCCCAGCTCTGGGGGCTGAGCGCCACAGGTTCTATCAGGGTCTCCCCTCCAACCTCTCTTCACCGACTTGTATTTATCGGGGTTTTGACACACAGTGGCTGAAAGCGGATGAGGTAGAAAAAGGCAGCAGCGGGACCCCCATCCGAATCGAGAACCCCAACCAGTTTGTGCCCCTCTACACGGACCCGCAGGAGGTGCTAGAGATGAGGAACAAGGTACAGTCCCCATCTTGGAAGTCCCCGATGGGTTTTGGGACGCGGGAGCAGGGGTCTGGGCAGAGCCTGGGGCAAAGGGGAAGCTTTTCCCCCCTCTCCTCGCTCTGCATCTCGCCCGCAGATCCGGGAGCAAAACCGCCAGGACGTGAAGTCAGCCGGGCCCCAGTCACAGCTGCTGGCCAGCGTGATCGCCGAGACCAGCCGTAGCCCCGTACGTGCCCCCCGTGTGCCCAGCCCCAAGTGCCCTCCCCGGAGCACCCAGCCCCTTCCCTGCCTCCTTGGCATCCCACCAGCCGGGGGTGAGGGGGTGACGCCGCGCCGGGGTGGCTGTTTCAGTCCACAGAGAGCCATTTAGGGGACACGGAGGCCAAAGAGGCATCCCGGGAGGAGGCACCCCCTGAACCGGAGCCCCCCAACCCCTTCAGCCAGCTCACGGACCAGGAGCTGGAGGAGTACAAGCAGGAGGTGGAGAGGAAAAAGCTGGGGCTGCAGGGTAGGAGGGGTATGGGGGAGCCCGGATCCCCGATCCTCCTTGGGGCCCAGCACCCAGCGGACCCCGGGGCCAGCACATCTCTCCACCGACAGGCGAGAAGGAAAGTGCTGCAGAGGAGAGCCAGGCTCCCCCCCCGGAAAAATCCCCCCCCGCCTCCCCGCCGCAGAGCCCGGCCACGGTGCCAGCAGAGAGCCCGGCCCCGACGCCTGCGGAGCCCTCGGAGGGTGAGTGGGGCCGGCGAGCGCCCGGGCTCACCCGGCAAGTGGAGATGAGGAGCTGGGGTGTCCAGTCAGCAACCAAAACGGGGGGGGCTGAGGGTGGCTGTAGCCAGACCCGCCAAAATGCAGATAAATGTCACCCTCCCACGTCCCTTTGCCTTTCCCTCGGGGGGTCCCGCGCCAGTGGGGGCGAGTACCGACGGGGATTCACATCACAAAGGCACCACTTGCCTTGAACACCACAGCAGGAGGACGTGAGTGTCCACCGGTGGCTTTGCGGGGTGGCAGGGGACACCTCTGTCCCCCTCCGAACGCGCTGACGGGTGTGACATTCCTGTTACTTTATGCTCCCTACAACGGGTCTCAGGGTGCGGGAGGGCAGCGGGAGCGCGCGGCTTCTCGCTTTCTCATCGTGTCTCGTGGTGTCTGTCTGTCTGTCTCTCCACAAACGTCTTCCTTTCTCTTTCCTCCACGTGTGGCTTTCACCCAAGGAGTTACCTCTGACTCTGAATACTTGTCACCGTAGTAAGTACGGAGAGGCCGTCCTTGAGCCTCGCTAGCTCGGGGCGACCTTGCTCTCCGCGGCCCGTTTCAGAACCGCTCCTCTGGGGAGCGACGCAGAAGGAAATGCCTTGGGTTGCCTTGTTTTGTTGTGGGTTTTTTTTGCTGCCTGCTTTATTTCCAGCGGCGAGGCCAGGACGGAGCCAGCCGCCTTCCCTGCCTGCCTCTTCCCAGCTCTCCATCCCACCGTCGCTCGTCCCACGGGGAAGGGGGGGGGAAGAGTCAGGAAAGCGGCACCTGTGGTGGGAGCGGATTTGGTCCCAGCACTCTCCGTCCGTGGGAGCCAAATCCTGCTCCTGCCCAGGTCACACCGGCGAGTTGGGGGAAATCTAAACCTCCACAGTGCCGGTCACCGCTGCCCCAAGCCTCACCTCTCCTCTTTCCCCTCTCCAAGGTGACAAGAAGGCGGACGGCGGCCAAGCGCCAGCCGATTCCGCCACCGAGAAGGAGCCGCCGGCGGTGGTGAACGGGAAGGACGAGGAGCAAAGCACCGAGGAAAACCTGGGCAAAACCGGGGGGCGGACAACTGCCCCCGCCAACACCAACCAGGATGCCCCCAAGGAGAAGGAGACAGTGACCAGCAGCCCCGTCTCCCCCGAAGGCTCACCCTCCAAATCACCCTCGAAGAAGAAGAAGAAATTCCGGACCCCGTCTTTCCTGAAAAAAGGCAAAAAGAAGGAAAAGATCGAATCTTGAGTCTCCTCCGAGGCCTCCCGCCGCAGCGGTGGCCGGGAACCTCTCTGGACGGAGGCGCTGAGGTGGAGGGACGGCTCCTGCGTCGTGCGTCTGGCCGAGGCGCAGCCGAAAACCCCGGAGGCGAGTTGTTTTCTGGGGACTCCTGGCACGAGGCACCTCGTCCCCTGTCACCCGCTTTTGGAGGCGGTCACCGAGCTTACGAAAGATTGTGGCCCCTGTTTGCCGCTTGGGGAAATACCCGCTGCAATCTCCCTCCTCCCACGAGCTCTCCCTTCTCCTTCCTGGGCACCAGCCCCTTCCCACGTCTGGGCTGAGGGTTGGTTTTTTTTTCCCCACCCACCGCTTGCAGAGCCCTCGTGAAATGTGGGGCGCAGCCCAAATCCGCTTGGTTTGAGGAAGAAAAGGGTGTTTTGTTGTTTTTGTTTTTGTTTTTTTTACCTTCTGTTTCAAGCTCCGCTGGAATGGCTTTGGCTTCACCCCTGGGGCAAAATTGTTGGCCACTTTGCCAGGGGAATCAGCTCAAGCCGAATGTGGAGGGATTGCTCTCCCTGAAGGAGAGGCCGAGGCAGTGGGCCTGGGAGCCTTTCCTTCCAGGACTGTAATCTCCCTCTCCCCGGGACAGAAAGTCACTTTCAGTCCCCTTCTCCTGGTGCCACTGTCTCACGTATTCACCGTAGGAGGATTTCACACCGCCGGGAAAGCCCCCGCGACACTGCGCGAACTGCACCTGAGAAGGGAGAAGAAAAGAGCCTCCGGGAAGTGTCTGTGTTACTTAAAACTGAGCAAAACTTCACTCACTAAGTGCTACTTTGGGATGAACACACACTGCTGATTCACTTCAGTCAGAGGCACTGCCAACACCGCCACCCCCAAGCCCACCACCACTTCCCAGTGACGCTGGCACCAAGCGCCGTGCCAGCTCTCTGCTCGCACCGACCCCGGGCGCAGCGAGCACCCGTCCACGTAGCCAAGGCCAGATCGTTGCTTTTCCCCAGCTCTGGACTCCCGAGCACAAGTTAAAATCCTCCTCCTTGGTGTTCCCGTCCCACCCAGCCTCGCCTCCAGCGCTCCCGACGGCGACACGACCCATCCTTACAACCTCCCCGCCATGCCCAAAGGGAAGAAGAAAACCAGCGATGCCCATGTGCCCCGCAGCTGCTTCAATGCTGGTATTTAGGGGACAAAACCAACAGGATCATCCCCCCCCGCCCCCTGCAAACCAGAGGGGTTTGCCATGTTCTGGGGGTGCTCACCCCAAGCCTGCCTGCACAGGCAGCTGCCCGTGTGGGCAACGCTGCCGTGGGGAAAGGGCTTCCCTGACACAGCCCAAGCGCCCACTGGGTCCTGTCTGCCGGGGGCTTGGGCTGCAGCAAGGAGCCCCAGACCCCCCCTCCGAGGGCACTGAGTTTCCTCACCCCAGTATGATTTTCCCACGTGCCACCACTACGTTTTCAAAGCCTGTTTGCTGCTGCGAGGCAGCTCTTGGTTTCTGTTTTCCCCACCAGAAGAGCAGAAACCCTGTGGGCCAGGCAGCAGCTCTGGGGGTGAGGACACGGGGCGGAGCAGGGTGCAGGCAGGGAGCAGTCAGAGGGATGAGGTTTGTAAACACAGGTTGGTTTTCTTTGCAGGGGTGTGCCAGGCAAATTCTGAATTGAAAAGTAAAACGTGAGAAGCTTTTAAAAATTTATAAAAATACACACCTGGCAGGTATGTTGCTGGAGCCCCAGAGCCGGCCTGAGCCCAGTATTCGGGGAGAGCATTTGCCCTGTCTAATGTCCACGCCAAGCTCCAGTGCTGGGTGAGAGCCACAGCCTCCCCATCACGGTCCTGCAAGGACCAGGGTGCGGGGCAAGGGGAGACCCTGAGCTCCTAAATTCACCATCTGTGACAGAGGGCGGCAGCACCAGCCCGCTGCTGCCTGTCTTATCTATTCTGCAGCCAGCCTTTGAGCCACAAACCTCAGCTCTGGAGCCGTTTCCTGTGGGGTGGTGTTTACTGCCACTGATTTTTAAGGCTCCTTGAGGCCATTTTTACCATCTAGCCTGTCCTCCTGCATGACCCAGGCCAGAAAAGCCCCCGCAGGGATGGTTGCATCCCCCAGCCGGCACGGTCGCTCCCGGGGCGATCACCTGAATCACAACACTGCCACACAGCCGGTGCCGCCGCAGGGAGGCTGCAGCTCCTTTTCCTTCAGGGGTCTGTCCCCAGAGGCTTTGTGACCCCTTTTCTCCAAGGGCTGGGGGTTTTTCAGAGGAGACAGGGATTTGTTTCCCACCCTGGGTGGAAGTCTGGGGCACATCAGGCATCTCACGCAGCGCAGGGAAGGGAGAGATCCCGGTGCCTTCAGCCGGGAGGAAGGCTCAAATGGCCGCCGCCGCGATGTGGGTCCTCAGTGCTTAGCTAGAAGAAAACAGATACAGGCTCACCCCTCTGGAGAACTCTCCCCTTCTCCCCTGCAAGCATTTTGCCCGCTGCTTGCAGGCAGGCCCCTGGCTCGCTGCTTTTTCTCTCACCTCTTTTTGGCAAGGCTGCCTGGAGCCAAGCACCCTAGTCTGGGCTCTGGGTGCGGGTTTTCTGCAGCGGAGAGGTTGGGATGTGTCCCAGGCGTCGTTATATCATCACTCCAGAGTCCCGAGAGGTGTTTGATCGCCGCCCACAGGCCTTGTGCTCAGCGCCCTCCATATCTGCACCCTCAACTGCAAAGAGGAGAGGCAGGATTTCCATCTTTGGTCACAACTACACCAACACACGGCAGGAAGAGGAGGGTGATGCCAAGGTTTCAACTGGATTCCCACCTGGTTTGCTGCCTGGGGCTGGCAGACGCCCCGGCGAGGGTGCGGTTGCTGAACCCCCACCGCAGTGAAGCTGAGAAGAGCCGCCTGTCCCCGGGTCTGCCACCGCGGCCTGGAGGGGAGCGCGG